GGGAATTCTCTTTGCCTTCCTCCTATGTTAGAGTCTCTGTTTTTTGTGTGCATTTTGTGTCTTCTTGGTTTCTTCTCATTTTGATAGGGCATACCCTCAGTATCTTCTTAAGAAGAGTGTGCAGAAGATAAATTTTGTAAAAATTACCATGTATGATATGTTTTCATTCTACTCTGACACTTGATTATTTGGCCACTAGGCAATTCTAGAGTGCAAATAATTTTTTTCAGAATTTCAAAGAAATTGCTCTGTGATCTTCTAGCTTTCAGGGTTGTTCCTGAGCAGTGTAAAGCCAGTCTGATAACTGATCCATTGTATGTGAATCAGTCTCTGTTTCTCTTTCTCTCTCTCTCTTTCTCTCTCTATCTTTCTCTCTCACTCTGACGTAGGATATTCTGTTTGTCCCCAGCATTATTCTGGAAATGCACATCTTTCAGTTCTGAAATGTTCTTGAACTACTTTATTTATTTTATTTATTTATTTATTTATTTTGAGACAGGGTCTCACTTTGTTGCCCAGGCTAGAGTAAGTGCCGTGGCGTCAGCCTAGCTCACAGCAACCTCAAACTCCTGGGCTCAAGCAGTCCTCCTGCCTCAGGAGGGACTACAGGCATGCTCCACCATGCCTGGCTAATTTTTTTCTATATATATTAGTTGGCCAATTAATTTCTTTCTATTTATAGTAGAGACGGGGTCTTGCTCTTGCTCAGGCTGGTTTCGAACTCCTGACCTCAAGCAATCCGCTTGCCTCGGCCTTCCGGAGTGCTAGGATTACAGGCGTGAGCCACCGCGCCCGGCCTTGAACTACTTTATTGCTGACCCTTATATTTTCTTCAATTTTCTCTTCCTGAACTTTCTATTTTCTATCTCTCTGTTTAAAAGTTTTCCTTTTGTTGTACTTCCTGAAATATTTACTCACCTTTATCTTCCAACTCTTCCATTGAATATTGGAAGACATTTATTTGTTGTATTTTTAATTTTAAGAGCCCTTTTTTGGTTAAACCTTTCTTTTTAAAATTTTTTTCTTTCGTGGTCTCTGTTTCCTTCAAGTTGCCTTTTTCTATTTATTTGGTTGGTTTACTCTTTATATCTCATCATCATATCTGTCCACAATATTTGATAATACTTGGTTATTCATATTTAAGACTGGGGGTTTGGAAAGCTGATTGGAAACTGAGTGCTTAGATAAGATTTGTTGACTGTAAGGGGCACTACAGGGGGACCTCTAAAGTCGATTTCTTTAGACCTGTGCATGTCAGATTTCCCCAGAGAAGATGCTTTCAGTATCCTGCATGGAGGGCAAGACCTGGTCACCTGTGTTAGAGGACCTTGCTGGGGAGAGACCTAGAGGAGCCAGGGTGCAGTGTGCATGCGTTCTTAGCATCAGTGCTAAACTTTGGCTCTCAGCCTTGCCCTGTGTTCTTCCAGAGGAAGAACCCCCAGGTACTTTTTGCAACCACTTCCTGAGCCTTTTTGAAGACTCAGTGATATAGATCAGGTTTGTTCTCAACTTTCTCCACTATTGGCTTTGGATGCACCCTTCAGAGAAGGGTGCATGGTCATAACCACTGAACAAATGCAGTGTCGACCTCAGTGCACTAGAAACTTCAGAGTTTAGTGCTTCTCTGCAAATACTCTAACATTGCAAAATTTGCAAACACAGGAAGCAGTTCTTTTTGCTGGTGGATTTGGCATAACAAGAAGGCAGATAGTAGGCCACCGTAGAAATCTACAGTCTTTCAGCTGGTCCTTTGCTGGAAGCAACTGTGAAATATCATATATCACTTATGAATTATTACAGTGGTCTTCAAATGTTTTTGAGGGCATAATCACTAAATTAATTTCAAAAACCCTGTATTCTCTCATACATTTTAAAGTTGACTTTGTAAAGGGTATAATTTTCAGTATCTTATAGATTCTGTCATATACATATTACCATATTACTCTTTTTAATGTGTGCAATGAAGACTAAATACCACATAGTCAATGGACCATAAATACTCATCATCATCCATTTAAAAATACTTAAATTCTTCTCCAAGTTAGAAATTTCACATTATTCCTTTTTCTTCTAGAACATATATTTCTACTTCCCCAAATATTTTTTTCTAAAGTAATATAATTGTATGCTGGAAATTCTTTTATTGATTGTACCATTATAATTCTCCACAATCAAGCCAGGAGCAATGGCACATGCCTGTACTAAGGCCCAGTTACTTAGGTGGCTGATGCAGGAGGATCACTTGAGCCCAGGAGTTCAAGACCAGCTGGGCAATATAATATATAATTACATATATATTTATATATATATAAACTCTCCACAACCAAATATGGATATAAACATAAACTTAAGCTTTTATTTTCCTGTGAGTATAAGTCTCTAGGTGTTAAAAAAAATTTATTTTGGATTCACTTATGATAATTATTAGCTTTATACAGTTTATTAGAACATGTATGTATAAAACAAATTTTGATGAATTGAGAAAAAGTAAAAATATATTGGAAATGCATTTCTTCATGAGATGAATGGGGCTTTTATGAATTTAATTAATTAATTCTATCAATTCTATGCCTATTTTAAAACTTTTATAGATGTCAGCACTGGGGAAACTTGTTCAATACATAAGTGGATAGGACTTGAGGAAGTATCCCTTAACAGTATTACTTATTTCTTTGCACTCCTGAGATATATGCAAAAAATTCAAAGGTTCTATTCTGAAAAATTATTCTTAGTAAAATTAATCAAATTTAACTTAATTTATTCTTTAAAAATCATATCAAAAGCAAAAAAAAATGGAAACTACTACTTGCAGAAATTTATTACTCAGCCATGGAAGCCATTCACTTCCTCAGTTTCTGGAAAATATATCAAAAAGATTTCATCATGATTTAGCAAATGACTGCTTTTTTTTTTTGAAACAGAGTCTCACTCTGTCAACCTGGGTAGAGTGACTGGCATCATCAAAGCTCACTGCAACCTCAAACTCCTGACCTAAAGAGATCCTTCCTGCATCAGCCTCCCAAGTACCTGGGACTACAGGTACACACCATGACACCTAGCTAATTCTTTTATTTTTGGTAGAGATGGGGTCTCACTCTTGCTCAAGCTGGTCTTGAACTACTGACCTCAAGTGATTCTCCTGTTCAACCCACCAGTGGCTAGGTCTGAGCCACCCCCGCCCCAGCCCAAATGACTGCTATTATTTCCTTTAGAGGCACTTTGTTTAACCCAATATTCTCAGAAAGGGTTCAGAAAATAGAAATAATGTTCATTTCAAAACACCTTTGTTAATACAATATTTATTGGTAAAATTCTATTTCTTATAATGTGATTTAAATGTATTTTGTCAAAACTGAGGAGATGCAGATTTTATTCATTTAATTTATGAAAATGTATGTCATATCTAGTTAGTATAGTCAATCCTCCTTGTCAAACCAACTAGGTAAATCAGAGTTACTTTATGGAAAAAAGTCTAACTTTTTTTTCTAACTTCATTTGCAATACAAATAGTCTTTCCTGTATGTTTCAAAAAAGATTATAAACCATTGAAAAATAAATTATACATAACATCTAGAAACGTTATTAATTATGATTAAAATAATATAGATCTAATGTAATTTTTTCCATTTGTTATAAAAGAAGAAGAATATGTTATTTCTTACCTATTTTGAAATGATACACTAAAGTGTGTTGCTAAAGTTACAGGTAAGTCATTTATTAAGCAAGGAGAATGATAAAAGTTATTGTATGCTTTTGTTAAATATGTGTAGCATATATCAAATACCAGTATTTGGCTTTTCAGAAGCGTCAAGTAAGAAGCATGCATGAAAATCATAAATAACCTCATTAATTGTGCAGATATCATATTTAAACTTTCCTTGTGTATTTGATGAAAGAGAACAACATAAACTGCTACAAACTTAATTGACCCAGCAGCTAGCATAAACTTTTATTTTTGTTTTTAATAGGAGATAGAAAATACTAAACATTAAATCACATGAAATAAGATGAAGATTGACTAAAGGTGGAATAAATATTTCATTGTCTGTTTTTAATTTTAATTTTTTAAGATGAGTCAAGGGCAGTAGTGAGAAGGTGGGATAGAGTAGAACAAGTTCAATCTGTAACTGACTATGAACAATAAAGTGAGATAACTCAATACCTTTGAACCAGCCTCATCATATAATTTATAAAATAGATTTTAACTTACTGATTCACATTGAATTTTAAAGAAATTAAGTAACATCTTAATCAAAAGTTGTATTATATATAATAGTCCCAGAAAACAAATTACACTTAAAAGAATCAGGCTGGGTACAGTGGCTCATGCCTATAATCCTAGCACTTTGGGAGGCTGAGGTGGGAGGATCCCTTGAGCCCAAGAATTCAAGACTAGCCTGAGCAACCTAGCAAGACCCCATCTCTACAAAAAATAGAAAAATTAGCTGGGCATGATGGTGGTACCTGTAGTCCCAGCTACTTGGGAGGCTGAGACAGGGGTATCCCTTGAGCTCAGGAGTTCGAGGCTGCAGTGAGCTTGGATGAGACTACTGCACTCCAGTCTGGGTGAAAGGGTGAGACTCTGTCTCAAAAAAAAAAAAAAAAATCAGTGTCATGAGCTTGTCCTGCTTATTCAGTTTGAAGATGCTTTTCCTTCCAGCTAATGATGTGTCCTAGGGATGAATGCTAAGAGTTGCTGGAAGGAATTGCTTATATTTAAACAGCTGGTTATAGCCTTCAATGTTTGTTATCAATGCTCTTTTTGCGTCTCCCTCATGGGACTCCCCCCTAAAATGTGATGTATTCTTTGACAAAGTTGGAGGGTAGAAGAGGTAAAGTCATTAAATCAAACTTGTCATTATTCTCCGAGCCTCACACTATAATCTGAACTCAGTACATCCTAATGTGAGCAAATTATTCCATTTCTATACCCCAGCTTCATCCTTAACAGAAATAAGTGTAAGACACAAAGCCTGAAAGCATGGTTTTAGTAACTTGATTAGTGTAAGATTTTTCAGTGGCGGTGGCAAAAAGAAAAGACAGAGAGAGAGAAAGAAAGAGTGTGGCCAAACCACGTGGCTTTATTTAGTGCTCCTGGACAAGGTTCTTGGGCCCCAAGACAGGGGGGCCCTAGAAGTCACCCCCATTTGAAGAGTGTCAGGTCTTTTTTACCATTTGGGCTGTACTAGGGACTTTTGGCTGGAAGAACTGGGGCCACCTTTGGTGGTCATTGAGAAATAGGAAGGGCTGGCAGTATTTGCGGAATCCAGGAGACAAAACTTTCTTATCTCGGTGTGGTAGTTTTCAGCGGGGCAGTCGTCTTTGGCAAGTCATTGGCGGTCTGGTCTCATGAGCCTTTTCTTTTTTGATCTAGGGAAGGAGGGGGCCGGCCACCAGCCTTACAATTAGTAATTAAAAGATACTTCTTATAAGCCAATATTTCCCCATAGTCCTTTTGTTTGGCTATCTGGAAGGTTTTGCACAGTGAGGTAAATGGGTATGTTTTTTTTTGTGAAGAGAGAAGGGCTACAATGAAATTGAAGGGGAGAAAAGAGAGTCTGCATACACCTTTACCATTGGCAGGTCAATTTTAGGACACAATTCTCATGTGAAAATGGAAAAAGCTTGAGTTAATCCCCATAAAAGTATGTGCTCACATCCCCCTTGGCTTACAGTGTATGCATTCCCTTCTTGGAAGAATGCTGAATTACTACACAGTGGAGATTCTAATTCACAAAACATCCTCACAAAACACAGATCTGCTTTTCACATTGCCTTTGGCTTTGACTTTATATTCTCCTTGTAGTCCAGGGACCCCTAAGTTAAGAAGTTAACATAAAAATTGATTTGGGGCCTACAGAAAACCCTGAGGCACTCACAGACACAAATGCAAAACCACACTGGAGGGATGCTACTTCAACCAAATCAAACAAGAATCTCAAGGAATAAAACAAAACCAAGTAAAAAAGAGTTTATAATAAAAGTACAAAATACAAGAAAGAAGTCATGCATCACCTCAGTTCAAAGCACAAAACAAGAGGATTAGAGCCCTAAAATCCTGAAGTATTCGACTGACAATCTAGAAGACAGTATAAAATAGTATTGTTTAAAATAACTACAAATGAAAGAAGAAATCAAAACACTAAGATTAAGAAAAACAGCATACAAAGAAACAGCAAGTAGATATGGAGAACTACCCAAGAGAAATTTTAAAAATGAAAGACATAATCATTGAAATTGAAAGCAAATGGTCAAACAGCAGATTAGACACAATTGAAGAGAAAGAACCAATTAATTAGAAGATGAACCTGAGACCACTTGCCAGAAGGCAGCAAAAAAAAAAAAAGAGAGAGAGAGAGAGATAAAAAGAAAATATGAATGAAAAGTTGAGACATGGAGGATAGGAACTTACTGACAATAGGCAGGAGTCGGGGAGAGGCAATATTTAAAATGATAATGGGCCGGGCGTGGTGGCTCTCGCCTGTAATCCTAGCACTCTGGGAGGCCTAGGCCGGCGGATTGCTCAAGGTCAGGAGTTCAAAACCAGCCTGAGCGAGACCCCGTCTCTACCATAAAAATAGAAAGAAATTATTTGGCCAACTAATATATATAATATAAAAATCAGCCGGGCATGGTGGCGCATGCCTGTAGTCCCAGCTACTCGGGAGGCTGAGGCAGGAGGTATATATATAAACTTAGCGGGCATGGGTGTGCGCATGCCTGTAGTCCCATATTGCTGAGCCCAGTGAGTTTGAGGTTGCTGTGAGCTAGGCTGACGCCACGGCACTCACTCTAGCCTAGGCAAGAAAGGGAGACTCTGTCTCAAAAAAAATAAATAAAATAATAATAAAATGATAATGGCTGAGAATTTCCAGGACTGGCAAAAGACGTAACTCCTCAGATTCCAGAAGCACAGTAAGTCCTGAAACGTATAAATAAAAGTAAATCCACATATAACTACATTTAGTGACAAAGACATAGAGAAAATTTAAGAACTCAAAGGAGGAAATATGTTAATATATTACCCAAAAGAAACAGTAATTAGAAGGCCTCTTTTTTCTTTTTTTGAGACAGTGTCTTGCTTTGTTGCTCAGGCTACAGTGAGTGCTGTGGCGTCAGCCTAGCTCACAGCAACCTCAAACTCCTGGGCTCAAGCGATCCTTTCTGCCTCAGCCTCCCGAGTAGCTGGGACTACAGGGCATGGCCACCATGCCGCTAATTTTTCTATAATATATATTAGTGCCAATTAATTTCTTTCTATTTATAGTAGAGACGTCTCTCTCTTGTCAGGCTGGTTAACTCCGACCTTGGGCGATCCGCCGCCGGCCTACCAGAGTGCTAGGATTACAGGCATGAGCCACTGCGCCCCGCCTTAGACAACAATGCAGGCCAGAAAACAATGGACTAATATCTTCAAAGTGAGAATGAAAATCCAAAAATAAATCTAGACTTCTG